TTTGGTCTTTTTGAGACAGGGTCTCCCTGTAGCTCTAGCTGGCCTGGAACTCACTATGCAGGCCAGGCTGGCCTTGAACTCACAAGGGAGCTACCTGCCTCACGTTAACATTTTTAAATATTTGGAAGAAGGTAAATACAAGCTAAAATTTTGAGCCTCATAGGAATGCTCTGTGGGGCTGGAGATGTAGCTGTTGATAAAGTGCTCGCTTAGTATGCAAGAAGCCCTGGGTTCTATCTCCAGCACTACATAACCCTAGACACGGTGTTTCATAATTCCAAACCTGTAATCCCAGCACTGTGGAGGCAGGAGGATCAGAAGTTTACGGTCATCCTCAGCTACATTGCAGTGAGGCTAGCTTGAACTACATTAGACCCTGTATGGAATTCACATTTCAATGCCTCCAAGTAAGGTTTCTATAAAGAACCTGGCTGCTGGAGGAATATTTATTTATTAATTTTATTTTTTATGATAAGTGGTATGCCTGCATGTATGTAAGTGTATCCCATGTGTGCAATGCCTGCTCTAGAACAGGAGTTATGGATGGTTGTTAGCTGCCACATGAGTGCCGGGAACCAAACTTGAATCCTCTGCAAGAGCAGTCAGTGCTTTTAATCACTAAGCCATCTCTCCAGCGCCTCTAAGTAAGGTTTTGTTGGAGTGTAGCTGTGTTCATTCATTCTGCATTATCAATGGCTGTTTTTGCACTATGATGAAAGAGTTGAATAGATGTACAGAAACCATAAAATATTTACCACCTGGTCTTTTGCAGAACCTTGCTAACTCCTGACTTAAGAAATGATGTGACACAGCATTTGAGGTGTGAGACTCATTCCCCATTAAGAAATTTGGGTTGTATGATGAGTGGATTAGAATGGGAAGGAGAAGGTGGGAAGTATTTTCTAGGTAGAGACAGTGGATCAGTCACGCTGTACTTGGGTTTTCCAAGTTTCTCTAACTTTCAGTTGAATCTAGATTTACCATTGAAGCTATTTCATTTCAGGATCTTGTGTACAATATTAGTTGTGTTTTAAAATGAGGCATCCAGGCTTCCTGTATTCACCTAAATGTTGGAACAGATCAACACCTTTGCCTTTTAGAACTTTTTTCCTTTTTCTTTGGCACTGGATATGAGCTATTTTACTTTAGAGCAAATAAATATTTAGTTTTTAATTAAATAAGTATTGAAGTCTTACGATGAGTAAGCTAAGACATTTCATCTTGGCAATATTTTTTTTTTTCCAAGCTGGTTTTTATGGTACTGGTCTAGCTGGGTTTCTGTTGCTGTGATAAAACACTCTGACCAAAAGCAACTTGGGGATGAAAGAGTTAATTGAGCTTACAGATGACAGGCCATCATTGAGGGAAGCCAAGGCAGGAACTCAAAGCAGAATCTGAAGCAGAGACTATGGAGGGATGCAGCTTGCTGGCCTGCTCTCAGGCTCACATTTGGCCTCCTTTCTTATATAGCCCAGGCCCACCTGCCAAGGGATGGCTCCACCCACAGTGGATTGGGCCCTCCTATATCAATTAGCAATCAAGAAAATGCCCCACAGACATGCCCACAGGACAGTCCGCTGAAGGAAAATCCTTAACTGAGGTTCCCTCTTCCTAAGTGTGTCAAATTGACAACTGAAGCCAACTAAGTTAGACACTGTTGAATGAAAACTATGGTTAAAGTTGGAGGTATGAGCTCCATTCTTACTGACTAACTGAGCCAGGGAAGTCTATAGCATAGTTGGGTAAAATGTATTTCCTGTGGGGCCAGCAAGACGGCTCAGTGGGTGAGGGTGCTTGCAGTCTGTAAATGAAAGTTCCTGGAAAGAACAGCACCTTATATTAAATCTCCTTCTTCATGGCTGATTAACTGATTTGAATTTCAATGATTTTTGGAGTGTTTGGAATGTTACAAGTGCAGAGCCAAATTATCTTAGGTCATCTTTAACCCTCTTAATAACCGTTTATTGCTCTCTTCTGTACCTGAGCTAACAGCTTTGTGACATTAGGTAAATCTTTTGGAATGTACAGACATCTAGTTCCCACCAGCCAAAAGGCTAAGAATGCCACCAGATGGCATCTGCACCTGTAGTAGGGACTTTGCAATTTTGCTTCAACCCACCTACCTAACGTTTCTACCAATGTATTTGAAAAGTTTTGATATAGGACTTCCTTTGTTTTGTTACTATAAAAACTCCATCAAACTGTTACCATGTTGGAACACGGAATTTGGGGTGATCTAAATCTGTGTTCACAGGCCATGGTCACTCACATTTGGCTCCTAAATAAACTATCTCTATCCCTTTTGAGGTGAGAGTTGTGTTTTAGCATTGATACGCCCAAAGATCAAAGCCTAACCATCTAAGTTCAATCCCTAGAACCCATGCAAAGGTAGAAGGAGAGAACTGATTCCACAAAATTGTCCTCCAACCTCCAAACACCATGGCATGCTTTCCTCCCCCATCTTACATACACATACACTAAATTAAAATCAAATTTAAAAAAAGAAAAATATGTTCTGGGGACTGGGGATATAGTTCAGTTGGTAGAGTGCCTGCCTTGCATACATGAAGCCTTGGGTTCAGTCCCCAGTGTTATATAAACTGGGGGTTGTGATACACAACAATAATCCTGGGACTGGAAAGTGGAAGCAAGAGGATCAGAAGTTGAAGATCCTCGTGGACTACATGGCAAGTTCAAGACCATCTTGGGCTACGTGAGATGCTGTCTCCAAAAAAAGAAAAAAAA